CCCCCCACCACCCTCCCACTGTCCCACCCTCACAGCTGCTGAAGCCCTGGTCGTGTTTCCCACCTTTTATATGATGTCATTTTCCTTTATGGAATTCTGAGGTTTGTCGACTACATGCTTTCATTTCATGCTTGGAGACTAAGACATTATTGGATTTAAAAAATATGTTAATGTTAACATGAATAAACATAAATGTGTTATATTTACTTTAGCCTACACTTCCTTCATGACAGACTCTCACAATTGTTCAGGAAGAAAAACCACTGCTGCTGCTGCTGCTGCTGCTGTGGAAAAAAGAAATCTGTTCAACAGCTTCATTCATGCCACCGATGACAACATCATTTTGTTTCAGTAGAAAATATCTACAAAAACTGTACATGAGTAAAATATATGAAGTGATGGTCTATCAAGTCCATCAATAGTCTCAATAGTTTAAAAAACAAAACCAACAACAACAACAAAAAACAACTGTACCCACATGTCCACACTGTAATTGTTAAGTTTGTGTTCAAACCTGTGACCTTCTGGTGAGGTGATACATTGGCAGGGACCACCAGCTCACATATGGTCAACTGAAAACTTCCAATAAGAGGTGTCGGATCATTTACTGCAGCTCTGCTGGGTTTTCACCTGCATTAACAGGACTTAATCATTATTTATACAATATTGTTATGATTTATCAACTTCTCCAGAACATTCCACCCAGACCACAAAAACAGCACCATCATCTCTGCTGTCACAACCTCTTTGCTCTCTCTCTCTCTCTCTCTCTCGCCCCTTCCATCTGGTCAGTGCACCCTGACGCGTGCCCACCAGAGCCTGGTGGAAGCAATCGTCTGTTCCCACTCTGCCCACCACATGTAGCCCTTTAGTTCCTTTGGCTACACAGAGGAGAAGGAGAAATGAGATGGCTACGGTGACCACAGTATACACACAGGATGTGAACAGTTCCTTCCAGCGTCTCCACTTTGTCTTCATCTCACACAGTTGTCACACATCAATGTGTTTTTTTTTTTCAATTTAAGTTCCTGCAGAAAGTCAGTTCCTATCACAGAGGACTATTGAAAAATATCATTTTAATTGAGTTTACATCATTAAATATAGACATTCAGCAACTTTTGGCACCGACTCGGCAGAACAGGGATTCTCATTTGTGGTAAGAGACAAAAAAAAAAAAACCCAAATGCTTCTTCTAGACCGGGGTCTGTTCTCTGAAGCCCAGACTCGGAGGTGAATTCAGGTTGTGTTCGTCACAAACGTCTCTGATGAATTAAAAACACGGCCGAGGTGTTTAATAAGAGCAATCAATTTTATAACTAGACATCTATTTAAAGTCCAACCCTTGGCTTGTGTCCTATGAATGGACGACTTCAGCAGCATCATCTCCTAAAGCCGCTTTCATCTAAATGTAAATAACACCGTAGAGAAAAAAAGAAAGAAAAATCAATCACAATCAAGATTTTTTTTACACTCTGCAGTGTTTCATCTCTTCATAACCACTTTCTTTGAACAGACAAATAAAAAGAACACACTGCAGTGTCCATCATGGGTTCAAAGACAACTGACGGGGAAATTATAAGGTGGAACTTTATTGAACCTTCAGTGTACCTGGGAGGTACGGGGGAGGGCGGGAGGAGGGGAGGTAACAGTTTTCTTCCTTTTGTTGTCATAAAACTATAGATTATTCCAGTAGTGACGTCTGTACAGAGAGAGACCCTCACCTCCCACCCCCGGAGAGAGGCGTCGGGAGGGGCACACTCAAAGACAGATGGGGGGAGAAAAGGAGGAGAAAGGGGGTGAAATTTAAGCTTCAACATCTAGGACTGAGTCCTGGGAGCAGGAGGAAGGTAAATTCATTTGGATCAACCGGCAATGTTCAACTCGACCAACATAATACAAGGGCGACCCCTACTGGTGTAACCGAGACGGGACTCTATTACTCTTTGCCAAGAGGCTTTTTATAAGAGGAAGAGGAAGATTTTTTTCAGGACAAAACCGTTGCTCCTCGCAAGAAACTGCTACTGACTAATGATTATTAAATATATGTAAAAAAAAAAAATCTACGTGCTGAGAAGACAGTATACCAATGACACTGTGTTCGTACTGATTGGCTCTTCTTCATGGAGAAGTGCTGGAAGTTGTGCAAGACACTGGTTCGCCCAGACCCCGTAACGCGTCGTCCAACATCTGGGCGACACCAGCAAAGAGCCATTCATCATTAATGTGGCACATTTTTACGCATCACTCCGGTCTTTCCGGGAGTCGAACGCAGCGTTGGCGGCTCTGGACGGACACTGACGAAACACTGCATAAACACAGCACAGCTGCCAAAAAGGCAGTTCTCTGCTGTACTCACTCCGTACGAGTGCATGCATTAATATCACGGTATAACGTGATTAGCCTGGTCCGGCGCTGTGTTATATACAGCTGTGCGTTAACGCAGCCTGCGCTCCGCTCACTGCGCCACGCAGCTTTAACGATCCAGAGGAATGTGACATGAGAAACGGTTTGTTTTCCCCGTGAACGCATCTCACAGTGGTCGTTTCCCATCTTTCAAATCCGTGCACGGGGTTTATTTTTTTATAATTTTTTTTTTTTTTTTTTTTTTTGGAGCAGTGGTGCTCTGTGTGCTGCAGGTGCCGCACTTTGGATGAGGGGCGCCTGTGGGTAAAAAGCCGCACGGCGCCTGCTGATGGGGAAAGAGGGGCGCAAGCACAGGAGACGCCGCGTGATCTCCCCCTACCCCAATGCGGAGAAAAAAAATAACAAGACAAGGCAAAGTACTCACAGCATCTCCCATTCACGGAGCTCCGAAAGAGTGGTGTGAGATGACATTGCAACAGCGCCTTCTCTCCTCCGAATAACCATGCAGCCTGGGCTGGTGAGCAGCCTCACAGACCCTGCACCACCAGGTAACAGAGACCCCCGAAGCTCTGGCTCTGAGTTGCTCCAAGCGAGTCCAAAAAAATACACTGAATGAAATCCTCTTTTCAGCACTTCACAGCTGCCAACAAGCAGGCAGAAAACACAATTGCCGTAATCCAATCTTCAGTGTGTGTGTGCGCGCTTACTGCCGACTCTCCACTGCAATATCACTGCTGGCCCCGCGCATTGTGGGGGGCTCAGGATGCCTCTGTGCGATTACTGCTCCCGGTATCCCGTTATTCCTGTCCCGGGTAAGGAGAGGTGCGCAGTGGAGGAGAGATGTGGCAGGCGAGCAGCCGCCGGACGCTCACACACACACAGAGACGCGCACGCACATTGGCTACACGAGAGAAGGGGGTTCCAGCATCCTACGAACGGTGCGGGACCCGCAGCCAACGACTCTCTCTCTCTCTCTCTCTCTTTTTCTGTGTGTGTCTGCTTGGTCTCTCGGTCCCCGTCTTGTCGGGCACGTGTGCGTGTAGGGGTTATGCTGAATGTGGACGCGTGTGTGATTTTGTCTATGCCTGCTGCGCGCATCTGCAGAGGCTGGAGCAACTGGAAAGATAGACGGACGCGGTCTGTCAGCTCTCTCTCTCTCTCCCCCTCTCTCCCCCCACGCTCTCCCTCTCTCTCTCTCGCTGCGCTAAAGCGCCTTCAGGAAGTGGCTCAGTCAAAGACAGATTAATAGAGGCTGACTTAAGCTAAATCACAAATAATTCAGGCCACAATTCAACCCTCCTTCTCCTCCTCGTTCTTCTCCTCTTGCCTCCACATTCCTCCATCTCTGTATCTGCCAACTGCTGCCTCCCACTCCTCGTGGGATTTTCACACAGTCTGTCCATCCGTAAAACTGGAGCACAACAGAGCAGACATCGGTCTGTAAAATATATACAGCACAGCAGCCAGTACTGCAAAGGCCATAGAATATTTATAGGAAAGTGCAGATGAAAGTCAACTGTTCTATGGTCTTGAGGTTAAGACAGTCAGAAAGACACTTCTAAACTTCTGCAAATACTGAGGCCCAGACAGGGCTGGTCTCCACTGTTAACTAAGGAATCTGGTCCAACTGAAGAGGCACAAATGTAGTCAATGTCAACAAACATTAAAGATGAAATTTACTTGTACAAAAGTGACATTTTCTTTCTGTGCAAAAAAGTTCTCACAATAAAAAGGCACGGTCATGATACAACTGAAAAAAAAAAAAAAAAAAAGGCTTCAACCCAGGATTTGGAATCCTGGATTTGGGAAACATGATGCGAGACGACCCAAAAAGAAAAATCTCTTGCGACCCACCTGAGTGTCGCGACCCAGTCTTTGGGAAACAATGGCCTAAATCACAACCATAAAAGAGACATCACTGTGTTGCTGCAGCAGGCGCCGACACCAGCGGCTAATCTTCAAACACACAGATGAAATGTTGACCCAGTCTCTCCATAAGAAACAGTTTAGCAGCACACAGACCCTGCAGCTGCTCAGTGTTTTCAGCCAGGTGAGTAAGAATGTGTGTGTTCTGCAGGTACTGTTACTTATTAACGGCTTGTGTAAGGCTGGAAAACGGTTGGGAAGAAGGCAGGCGACGGTGTGAGATCGTGGCAGATGTTCAGCTGTGAAGACCCTGAAGGCAGCAGCTGTGAGAAGAAGAAACTGAAAAACTTTTGATAAACATGTTTCAAATTCACAACCTGTCACTGTCGTCTGCCTCATTACCAAACACCTTTAATCCAACACACCATCCAATCTCTGCTGAGAAGAAGAGACAACAGGAAGCACGTACGTATACTCTTTAAGTTTACTTTAAAAACACATCCAAGATGTATAAATTGGTACGTCAAACTGTTCAAAAACAGATGTAATTTCAAAAGGTTTTCAAACTTAATAAGTAAAACACAATGAGATGTCTCTCTGACGTCTCCTTCAGTTTTGCTTTGAAGTTTTGTCATAACCATAAAACAGATCAAGGGCAACATCAAATTTTAACCAAATAAAACTCATCACTATTCACCAAAACATAATGAAAACCTAAAAAAAAAAAGGGTATTTCATTCACAAAACTATGAGATCCTCAGATGGAAGTATTTAAATGTATACAGAATATGCAGAGAACTAGTTTTGTTTGACTTTGACTTGTCTTAGAACTTCTCGACTCCGCCTCGCACTATTGTATAATAGCTTCATTAGAAGAAGGAGCTCATGATCTCACCTATAGACACTGTGGAGGGAGGGGTTTCAGGAAATGTCAGGCCAAATGCCAGATGTCACTTTTACTAAACGTCCAATCAGAGAAGGTCAGGACCAACCACAACAAATCGCTATCACTGTCCATCCGTCCATCTGTCTGTCTGTCTGTCTGTCTGTTTTTCCATCTGTCCATGTAAATAAAACATATAACAGAGAGTACTATTACTATTATATATATAATTTTATTATGTTTATATTGTTCAAGAATTTGCTTTGAATTTTTTATCTGCACTTTTTTTATGAGTTTCATTAGAGATGAAAGACACCATATGATTGGCCAACAGTGACCATCCTGTCACACACAAACCTGTAAGGAACATGGGCGTGATTAAAAATGTCATAGAATGCCATTGTGGCATTAAAAATGCCAGGAGGCTGCGTCGGGTTACAGTGAACTCATTATTGGGACACAGAATGTGTCCCTACAGAAATAATGCTGTGATAGCGTCAAGGATGTGATTACGGTGAAGTGGCCAAAGGTCACTACCATCTGAGCGGTGAGCGATCTGGAGCACGTCCACTCCTGCAGCAGGTCTTCTCCAGAGTTAATGGGAATTAATATAATGTCCATGATAGAAATGATGACATTTCCCATCACGACGGACAGAAGAAATGAGAGAAATCATCTGTTTCTCCCTGATGTGATGTCTGTCTCTGAAACACCTACAATTTATTTTTTTTAAATGAAACTTGAAGGTACAAATTTGAGTTCTATAATGTCAACAATGGGCCGAGTTGAACCAATCAGGTGGTGAGATGTCACCACATCATGACATCATAGATTACTTAACCAATTGGCTAATGAAACATAACCTGCGTAACCAAAGTGTCACTTGAGAGGTTCAGTTAACGTGGCCGGACCATGGAATAACATTCGACTAGCGCCGCCCGTCTTAAAAGCAATAACATGGCAGCATTATGACGTCAAGAGAGAACATGCGGTGGACGAGATACGAGATGTAACCACTGGTGATCCTGTGACCCTGAGGCAGGAGAGGGAACCTATAAAAACATCAACTTTTCTAAATTATAAGTCTTTTAAACATCGGATTAGTCCTTTACCGTTTACAAGGCCCCAACAGGGCAGTCCAGCCTGGCTGTCCAGAAGGTCCAGTGTAACCTTGTCAGTATTGATTTGACACATTATTGGAGATACACTAACCTACATTTGAACAGTGACCTGTTTGTATCAGTTTTCACTGCTGTGGTGTGAGACTGAAAAGAAAAAAAAAATTCTCAAAGTAATTTTGCCCTCTACAGGTCAAGCAGGAGGCTGCACTTTATGTTAAGGAAGGTGAAAGGTCAGAACAGCAGTTAGTGATAATTACATCATTACATTACAGTGTCCTCTGTCCTACAGTCAAATGACTGGTGGCTGTAAAACTATGACAGCGTTTTCTGCTCTTTTTTTTTTTTGCACAACCACGTGAGAATGAAGAGGGATTTTGAAGCAGCCTAATTCACAGTCAGGACACCTCAGCCAACAGTCAGCAGCCCTCAAACTCCCCGTTATCGGGCGGGGGTGGACTGCGGGTGGAGGGAGGGAGAGAGAGAGACAAAGCTGGACACGGAGGGTTTTCTGCCTCATGTGAAACGACATCCTCACTCGGCCTGTGTCACATTCAGCTGTAAACCTGTGATCATGGTCCACTGAAGCAGGGAAGACAATGTCAGGTGGCAGCTGAGAGTCCTCACCTCACACCAACTTCACAGGTGATTCTCACACCTGACATGATCCAGTCACACACACACAGGAAACCTACACTACACTCACTTATCTAAGGGTGATTTTTTTTTCATGTTTGCAGATAAAAAAAATAAATAAAAAAAAGTCAATACAGGTCAAAACACTGGCGTTTGTCCCTCTGGTCTGGTGTGGCCTCTGGTCTCAGTCTCTTTTTCTTTACAAAAACCACGATGAAGCCAATGGACAAACGCTGGACGATGAGAGCGGTGAGTGGAGGACGCTGAAGGTGTCGGTGTCTCGGTGTGAGTGCCATGTCTGGGGGGACACCACTGACGGCAGACATACTGAGCTGCCAAGAGTGGTGAAGGGGAGTGTGTGTGTGTGTTAGTGTGTAAGTGTGAATATGAATGTGATGGTGTATGCTGTAACCACACCCCCTTAAGGCCGTTTAGTCTCTCAGACAGCTGTTTGGTGACCTGGTTACACCCCTACGTACCCTCCAGGGGTAACTCACCCAGGCTGAAACAGATGCTACAATATTTTACAGCAATGTACTGCACACACACACACACACACACACACACACACACACACTGCTGCATCCAAAATATGGAAATGAGTTCTTTCTTTTTATCTTTTTTTGTCACAGAGTATAACTCTTCACTCTCTGGTTTAAAAATAAAAAAAATCATTGTTGCAAAAAACAAATTCAGATAAAGGCGGGGGTGGGTGTCAGAGGGAAGGGGGCGCTACTGTACTGTATGTAAATGTGTCTCTGAAGATTATCAGCCAACCACTTGTTATTTAGACTGTGGCTCATTTCAAATCCCACTGCGATGTAATCACTGGAGTGAAACAACTCTCTCATTCTTATTCCGCGTCGCCCTCCGTGGTCGGGCACGTCAGCGTCTCACGCCTCCACCCACACCTCTCTCTGACCATTTACAGAATAAGCAGCAACAAGGTTCATTAGCCACCAACGGAATAAGATGACAGGAACCAAAATTGCTTCGCCTCCCTAAGCAGGGTGACTTAATTGTTCCTGTTCATCACAAAGTACCACAACTCTTGGCCCAACCCTGCATTTCCGGGATAATTTACCTGCAGTTATAGCACCCCCTGCAGATGAGAGACGATAGAGCTACTACTCGTTTGTGCGATGATAAACACTTCCTGTCCAACCATTTTCAAACCTTCAGATAACAGTCCTGTTCATTTGCAGCGCTCTAAACTCAGCCAGTCATTCAATTTATTTATTTATTTTTTGTTGTTGCAGTGAACCAACAACCAACAGTCCTCGGTGGCCTACTCATCTCAGGGTCAAAGGCAATTTCCTGTTTTATTTAATAATGTAGTGACTGGATCATTGGAGGTCTCAACTTTTAACCAACACCACTTCTGCTGCAGGTCAAATCTCACTCCCTGTGCTCAGGTCTCAGCATCCAAACAGCCAGAAGAGGAATGGGAGAAAAGCAACAGAGCTTCAGAAAGCCATCAGAACACACTGCTGCTGCTGCTGCTGCTGCTGCTGTTGCTGCTGTTGCTGTTGCTGCTGCTGCTCTGGAGTGCTGCCAACTGCCTGAAGCAAAGGCTGAATGGCATTGCACTGCAAGGCTATAAAATTAGTCACTGCGTTTGTACAGGATGATGACACACAGGCACATGAAAAGAAGCCACAACAAACACAAGTTAAACCATTTACCTAAGAGGGCGCACACACACACAGACACACAGACACACACAGAGACACACACACAGTTTGTTTCAGTGGGCCTTATAACATCCAAGAGTCACGAGCAAAACGTCAAAACACAGCAATTAATTTAAAATGCATTAAAATGATTTGCTGTTTCACCACCAGCAAACACTGTCATTTCATTGGTTGGCCACATCAGTGTTGTTCAGTTCAGTACACCATCCCTCTCCCTCCTCCTCCCTCCCCCTCAGTCATTTTAGGAAAAGTTTTAAGTAAAAAAATACTTTTTAATACATGGTCAGTGCAAATCCTTTTGTTGTTGTTGTTGTTATTATTGGTAAGAGATCAGTTACTTCATATACATTTAGCTCAGTGCTAAAATTAATATCATATTAACACTCAGTCATGGACCATATTTTGGGGGTTGATGGGCTGGAAGTGGCCCCTGAGTCGGAACTTTAAAACACCTGCTTTAACATAAGCAACTGCTTAAGAGGAAATTGTTTATGTTCATGTTTCTCACCGTGATGAAGAATGACGGTTTGGTAAGAACCTTAAATTAATGCACAAAGTTAAACAACGAGCTAAATCACACGAGTGTTCGCTCAATGACTCTTTAATTGGAGCACAGCATTAATGAGTGACTCACAGCAGGTGCAACAAAATGCAAATGAGGGGAACAAAAAACAGAAAAACATTTTAACAGGAACAAAACTGTTTGTTTCCTAATTTACAGCCGCAGTATCACTCGGGGAGTCGTTAGGAATAATTAATGACACATTTACTTTCAACAGTATTCATTTAAAAACAAAAAACTTTTCTACAAGTTAATTAAATAAGACGCCGCAGAGCGTCACAGCATGACTTACCCGCAGTAAGCTTCCATGATTGTGTTCTCTGCTGAAACCACTTGTGGTTTCAAGTCTCGTTCAGATTAATTCCCATCCCCAAACTGTTGGACGGTGCTCTCGCCGGTGTCATGTGGCGTAGAAAACCGTGCGCTCGATGTCGCCTGACGTCCGACGTCACCACCGACGCATGCTCGGCGAGCCCGTTGAACCAAAACACACTTTCCCTCAAGGTGTGCGATAATGTAGATTTTTTTCCCCCTGATTAATCGTCTTGAATCGCGATTTATGTGATTAATTGCGATACACCCACGGCTTTTCTGATATATATATATATATAAATTATAACAAAAACACAACCCCTTCAGAGCATCTAATACCTGTGAGCAAGTGGAACCTCCTCCCGCAGGCATTGGGTCCGAACCATGTGACGTCAGCGCTCCTTCACGGTTCATACTCAGACATTCAATCTGCGGCTCACCTGCTGACACAGTGGATTTTGTCTGTCCCCACAGTCAGGGCTGTCACATCTCCACCTGACAAAGCTGCTTGATGGTGAACCTGCAGCTGCTGAAGAAGCAAATGTTTTATACACTGACATGTTTCTTTTTTTTTTTTTTCCTTTTTCCCAACAGACAAATGTCTCCATCCAATTAAAGGCTGATGCGGAGAGATACGGTGGAAAACCTGGTGAGCATTCCAGGTCACGGGTTTATTTGAGGAGCAGATCAGCGCAGAGACATGAAGATGTGAGGTGGAGACTTTCTGCAGGGATGCTCTTTTCAAGCAGGCTTCAAAGAGAATATAAGCCAAGAAAAAATGGGGAAATGTTTCTTTGATGATCATCAGCAAAGAGGAAACTTTTTTTTTTTTTTTTTTGCAGCTTCAGTGAAATGATTGTCGTCAGTGAAAGACTGCGTTATATTCAGATTACATGGGGAACGTGTAGATTCAATATCACTTATTAATTACAAATTAATAATATACAGATTTTTTTATTTATTTGTAATTTGTAAACAGAAGCAGGAGGAGGAGGAGGTGAGGGAGGAGTATGGGCATCTTTTATATACTTATTTCCTGTGTCATCATGACCTTTTACTTCTCACACCAACATATTACAAGTGACATTGCTTCACTAACGAACGTGCACACGCACAGTGACACGTGCACGGTCACGCACGCGACGAATAAAAATTCAGGATAGGATGAATTCAAATTATAGTAGTATAGAGGATTTAGTGAAATTATTTTTCACTGTATAGCAAACATGTTCAATTGACGTGCCAACATTGCCTCCCAGTGGTGATACAGTGCAGTGATTTTGAGAAAAATATTCCTGATTGAAAAACTATTTTAGATATTTAGAAAAATTAAATAAATATATACATATGTGTTTATATATGTACGTATGTACATATATAGACACACAAATCTGCGTTTAAATCTCAAAGTTAGCTCAAGAATAACTTTGGTTTATTAGTGTAAACATAATCAGTGAGAGTTTGGGGAGAAGACATCAGGCAGACACAGTGTGTCAGGAATAAAAAAATCTTGTATTTTTAATTAAGAGGGAAACATCCTTCATAACAGCAGTTGGTCATCACACAAAAATCAGCAACAATTACAACGTAGAGTCCGACTGTGTGCCGAGCCTTTAAGAACCTCTCTGTCCCCTCACGTCTACCCACCCCCCACCCCTCCCACAGGGTACAGTGGAGGACTTATTATTGCAGACGCTTTGTTTCCTCTAAAAACTGAACACACTTCCTTCCCTCTGTGTAAGGCTTGCATTTTGTTTTCATTTATTTTCTTTTTTGTCAGGGTGAAGGTGCCAATTATTGGAGGTTTGAAAAAAGAAAACAACAAAAAAAAGGCTTTTAATTCACCAGAATTAACTCCTATCATATCTTTAACTTGATATGGGGTTTGTGATCTACAGTAGGACCAGTGAGCTGACCACTGAGCAAACACACGTGAAATCCTGAAATCCATCTGTTCCAGATCACCAGGGCTGACGCTACTCCTATTTAAAATATACATAGGTTAATTAGATTCACCGTCACTGGAGCCCCACCATGTTCAGAGTAAAGAAAATATCTTTACCTTAGCAATAAATAACATTGGTTCCAGGCAAAAAAAAAAAAAAAAGAACCAACTAGGTTTTCCACGTCTCCCTATAAAACTGTATAAAGAGGAGGTCAGTCCTCATACAGCAAGTGACCACGCAGTACTACATTGGACAGTAAAGAACACGCTCGGAGCCCAAGTGCAAGTAGGTAGTCAATCTACAAATGGAAACGTCTGAAAATGC